ATTGTAATGCTTAAGACAGCATTTTTGCCCATTGTCAGAACTAAAACCACTTTCCCACTGTTACCCATACTATCAGTAACTTATATCATGACAATTTGATATGTATATTGTATAATGTATATCACATATATTTATAATACATCCGTCTATGTATTATAACTGAGCCTACATTTTTGAATGCCAAAATGGCAATTAATGCGGGTAATGCAATTAATGCAATATTCCAATGTGTTTTTATTTTATCTCAATAATTACCAGTAAATATTAGTAATTAGTAATATATAATCAATCATATTAGTATTTTTTTAAATATCAAACAAGAGGTTTATATTATAAAATATAAAATACAAATTGTAATATTTATATTTATATTTATATTTATATACAATCTTATAATGTACTTGAGCAAAAGTATTCAAATACTTTTTAATTATACTTAAATACCGCATATTTTACGCATACTTTTCAAAATACGTATCTATACTTGTATAGTAAAAAAATATTTTTCACAAGGTCTGATTATACCTTAGGTATGAATTAATATATACCTACACTTGGTTAAAATTAAAACTCATACTGCAACTACACAAGAATAAAGAATTTATTAATTTCAAAAGTCACTAGTAATTTTATTACTACGCCACAAAACTACATAACTCATAAGTCATAACTAAATATATATAGCAAAACTAAATAAACTAAATATTTAACAGAAATTAACAATTTATTATAATATTATGTCACTGTCTAATCCAATAACATACCGTGTCTTTTATACCATGTATAGTAGGGTATTATATTAATCAAACTATGTAGGTATAACAATATAATACTGTCAATTGTCAGTGTCATATCATAAATATTGTTATTACTTATTAATATGATAAAATTTCAAATGTTCATCAATAATAATAAATGTTTTACTTATACGTTCGTTTTTTTCTCCGTGATAATTACAACATATCCAAGGGGGAATGTTCCGCTCAGAGGACACTGCTTTTGCCGTACTGCACATCACGGGAAGATTACACAGTCGTTATCCACCTATTTGCACCTAACACAAAACCATTTACCTTATTCTATTTTACAGGGAGATTTCACAATTTCACAATTTCACAATTAATCTATTAATCTGTAAACTGCATACAACATACCATGGGCGTCCATTGGGGGGGGCAAGATAGGGCAATTGTCTCCCCCCTGGAAAAAAAATAATACGAACTTGTTGTTCAAAAAATTTTACCATGATATAACCTAATTAGTAATTACCAAGGCAAATTATTTTTTAAAATCACTTTTAAGAGGAAGTGATACCCACATGTGTTGTCTCCGTCTTACAAGTGCGTAATATGGCAAATTTTACGCTCAGCAAAACGCGTGTAGCTCCGGTAGTTTAAAAATTAGAGCTAATTGATCTCTTATAAAATCTAAAGGTAAGATTATTATATAGACAATCTCATAGGCTTTTTAATATATTTTAATTTTAAAGCGAGTTATGTGTATTTTAAGATGTTCAAACAATTTACAGTTTTAAAATACTCATAACTCGGGTAAAAATTAAAATATAATAAAAAGCCTATGAGGTTGTTTAGAAAATAATCTTACCTTTAGATTTTATAAGAGGTCAATTCGGTCTAAATGTCAAACTAATGGAGCTACACGTGTTCTGCTAAGCGTAAAATTTGCTATGTTACGCACTTGTAAGACGGAGAAAACACATGCGGGTATCACGTCCTCTTAAGATATGAAATGTGAATAAAAATAAATATAGTTTAATACCTTAGTATTTGTTACAAATACTTGACAAATATTTTATTATATTTGTATGAATCAAATATTTTTCATATTCATTAATTGTGTGGTCTAAACGTTGTTTGTCAGCTATAAGGCCATTTTATTGATACGCCCTTTAGATGCTGATCTCATTTTTGTGCAGGTCTCTTCTATTATGTTTGTTTCAGAACTGATATATTGATATAGGTAACCAAATGAATAGAAAGGTGTGAACTATGAAACTGCGCATTTTAATATGTTCTATGGAAACATTGGAAACTCTCTGATCCATTGATTATACATAGTTAATGGTTGTACTAACAATAATAAAATAATATTAGAAAACAAGTTAGGTTTTAGTTATTACACCCTGTGTGGCTGTGTATAGTTATTATAGTATTACCGAGGATTTTCTGATGGCTCTTGAGGCCAAATTTTTGGTGGAAATATACAATCATCTTCTACGTACGTATACGTATTACATATATGTAATATATAATCAGAAAATAAGCATCCTATATCTATATTTTGACATATAGATACAAGTTCAACGAATGCATTTTCGATCTCATGTGGTGGTAGGAATGGCAACCCGAAAAATAGTTTTAACCAATTTCCTAATACGCCGTCGTTTGTATATGCTGCTCGGAGTTGCTGATCAGAATTTATCTGTTAAGTTAATACGTTTAAATTTATAATTTTATTGTATTATGTGTATATTTATAATATATTTTAAGCATAATAAATTACTTTCCGCCACCAACACTGCACTAAATGAAATCGACATGCTTGAATTTATCTTATGATACAACCAGGCCTGTATTTAGGGGAGGGCCAGGGTGGGCCATTGCCTCTCCTGGCGGAACTTGGGGGGGGGGTAAATTTTCACGAATTTTGTTTATGTATTAAGCTAACATATGGTTATAATTTTGAAATTATATAAAATATTTTTTTCCTTATGTATTGTGTGGTTTGGTGAAGATTTCAAAACATTTGCTATGAAACGGGCAAGAAGAAAAAATTGTTATCATTGTATCTATTTTAGTTTTTTATTGCAGTTTCAAACAAATAATATCATGCATATATTATGATTATATATTATACCTACTTATACTTTCTCTATAATATAATAATTAATAATAAATGTGTAATGTGTTTAAAATTGTTAATAAAAATTAATATTAATAATATAATTAAATATTATAATATAATATAAAATTAAATTAGTAAGCGTGGTGCATGGCGCCATGGTAAACCGCAACGTTATGCAAATGCGTAAAACAGAAAATCGAAAGTTTTGGAAGGACATAACTTATAAAAGAATGATTTGAATTTTCTTCTTGCACATTCGTTCTTAACTCATATTAAATACATGTTTAAAAAGGTGGGTAAGTGGATGTCGCTCTGCTGTACAGTAGGTTACAAGTGGGTCACTGTTTAATGGATGGTAAATTTGAATTCAATGATATAATATCATTGTATACGAAAAACGATTCTGAGCTGGGACGGGTTGTCATGTGGGATATTTGATATTATATTTAAATTTGTTATTACTTATTACAAATACGGTAGCCGGTGAGTTCAATTGATATTATTATAAAATTACAACAAATAATAACTAAAATCGTTTTTCTTGGTTATTTTATATGTAATTTCGTCCAAATATGAACATAAAATAACTATAAAAAAAACTGTGTGTTTATACATTTTTTTTAACACTGGACATCCACATATTCCACCAAAAGGAGGGGCGGAATTTAATTAGTGCCCCGGGGCACATCATTTCTAAATACCGACGGCCCTGGATACAACAAAAACTTATCTAATAGGTAAGTTAAGTACCTACCTATATAGCCGGGAAAATATAATCATCTGTTTTATGTTTGGACCCTTACTTATATTTAAGTGAGACGTACGTAAAACGCTATAACTAAGTCAAATAGTCAAATACCTAACCTTATGAAAATCTGGCAACATTGCGCTAAACTCTTGGGTACAAAACGTACGGAATCGACAGGAATCGTGTGTCTTAAAATGTGTACGATTCCGTACGCTGATAAGGGCCGTACGGAATCGTATTCTACCCACGTGCAAGGCCCCTTAAGTTCAAATTTGGACGAATTACATAACATTTAAACATATAAAAACGATTTTAGTTAGATATTTTGTGGTAATTTAAAATTATTATTCACGTGTACCTACTCGAAACTCGACTGTGGTATAATCAATGCTGTTATATTACTACTATTGTATTCATATAATATCTATGCGTGCGCCAAATGCCAATGCTCTCCATTGCTCGGGGAATGGGAACAAATTTCAACAAAATACAAATCAACAAATTACAAAGCAGGGAAAAAATATTTATTGGAATATATTATTTTTGGAACAAATGGTTTATTCCGAAATTGTCACTTGTACATTTGTTCCAATGAACTTTTTTGCAAGCCATATATTCTGTTCCGATATATTTTGTCAAAATCCAATAAGCATTTATTCCAATGATATTTGTTCCAAAGGATTTATGCTACAAAAACATTTGTTCCAATGTTCTCTTTATCAAATTACATTTGTTCCAATGGATATTTGTTCCAATAAGTTTTTGGAACAAAAGTTTTTGGAACAAATGTCTATTGGAACGAATAATTGTGGAACATGTAATACAGTCCCGCTGCAGCTGCTATTACTGTATAATTTATCTGTATTCTGTATTGACTGTATTAGGGTTATCAGCTGATTCATAGAAAAGTTTGTGGATCGTACAGTGTGACCACGGGAAACGAAACATTATATAATGGTGGGCGGGGTCGTCAAAGGACTACGCCATTTTGTCGATCCGTGTTGCGACTTGCCGACCTTAGGCAGGGAGTGTGGGAGAAGGGAATTGACTTCCGAGTTTTGATGTCGCATCATAGGCTATATTATTATAATTTATAGCTACTCGCAATTCGCAACTCGCAACTCCTAAGTCCTAAAGATTTTAAATTTCCTGTTTTCCGTCTGTGTCTGCTGACTAATAATTTAATTTTCTTTGTCATTTTTCGGTCACACGGTTCGTCGTCTATGCTCCGTCTTTTGACTTACCTCGTCTACGCGATGGTCTGACTGTCCTATGTAAAAGTCAGTCGATTGATATTTTCATTGTTTCTTTGTTATTTTTTTTAATTTCGTCTGATAAGTGACGGACAGCGGACAATTCAACAACAAACATCACTTAACGTCTTAACATGGAAAGGCTGTGCAACTACGCCAGTGACGACGACAACAGTCCGACTAGTCCGAGTCCCCGGAGGGAAGTCGCTGTAAGTTCATTTCTAATGTAGTCTACTATTTTTTTATATCCGGTTACACTTACACAATTCATGACGTCGAGTGCCATAATATCAATAAATAATAAGTTTACTCACAAATTTCATGGTCATATTGTATACCTAAATTGTTACACCTTTAGGCTATAATTAACACCCTAATCACTAATTAAATAGTGATTTACATAATATTACTTTATACTCTATAGGTACTTGTTTAATGTTATCAGCAGCTGATTGCGTCTTAATTGGAAGACTACTTAACATTGAGTATTTAAAATAATACCTATTAATTTATTATTTTACTTGTTGTTTTTAACATCATAAAAGTATTGATTTTTTAGAAATAAAATATAAATAAATCATTAAATAACTAACCAATTCAAATTTATCTATGCGTGCCTAAATAAATTTATATCACACCTTCTATTAAATATTTTTAGACTAAACCTACCAGAACTAATGGAATGGAAGCTGATGCAAATTATGAACAAGTTACCATGGATATGAGTGAGGTATGGATAAGTACAACATTAATCTATTCCGATTAATGTTAGTTAAGGACATTTAAATTACTGTTAAATTCATTAGGTAGATACATTTTTATATTTTTAACATTTAAATTATTGCTTTTACTTAACCTATAACGTCGTAAGAATATTTTTTTTAGATTTTAAGTGTGTATGATTTGTCATTTAAATCAGTTATTTCCGGACAGACTGAAAATATAATATCTATAATGGTCTTTATTAATTTATATACATTTTCTAAATATATATTTTTTATTTGATTCAGAATAAGAACAAGTGGTTTAAACTATTTTCTTATTTTTAGTAATTTTTACTACATCCATAAACCATCTAAATTGTGTTATTTGTTAACATAGGTACCACAACTTTACTATATTCAAAATTAATAGGTAGTACTTTGGTAAATACTTTTCTACTGTTTATCATAAAAAATTCAAATTATTAAAAGTTTTAAACTTTTATTTCCTCATCATAACAATAAAACTTATTAAGAATATAGTATAGTGGTACTAATATATTGTTACAAATATAGTACCTAATAGTTGTATTTTCATTTTCATGACAACGTTAAAATTTGTTCTGGCTCACAAAAATGAATTAATCAATTTAAAGATTATAGTTACATATCTTAATTTCGTACATTTTAATTCCACTAAATCCTCATTATGATATTTTTGTTTTCATTCTGAAGATTTTATTAAAGAGACCAGCCATTCAGTATGATTACACAAGTCGTCCTGGTTAAATTCATATTACCAAAACTGAAGGTGGGTAAAACATATTTTGATGTAGGGTATACAAAAAAAAAAATTTAAGTAAGCTAATAATTCAATCTAAAAAAAAGTAAATTCCGGTTAAAACCAATATTAACACGAAATTGTTCTGAAATTATATATAAAATAGTCCACGAGTAGTCAATCGACTGTGGGAGAGTCTCTTGCCACTGATTCTTTGCGCCGCTTGAAGAGGAATATTGAATGCGGCTGATTATCAATACTGTACATTCACATTGGTGAGTAATAACGAAAACAATCAGGTAAACCCTTCCCCGCTAGACGTCATTCTCTGTGAGCTGTGGCCTTGAAGAAGGTATATTTTTTTATTTATCATTAACTGTTAGGTGTTAATTATTAATTTAAAACACCAATATTGACTCTCTTTTTACTTTTTTTTTCAACATATATTTTATATTTTTAATTACTTAATTATATTTGATAATATCTTATCAATTATATATTTACGTATTTAAACATATTTGACTGACAATAAAACAAGTATGTTTTATATGAAAAAAAATATTTTAACTAATTTTTTTACCTAATTATTAATTTAGTTCTATATTTTCAGCAGGAATCAAACCATAGCTCAACCAAATCACCTCCACTTAAAAGTCAAACTTCACCTTCCAGTTCAGCATCATCTCCTACTTCTGTATCGCAAACTTCGAGATCACGTCATACCAGCAAACATGGAAATCATAGTGATACAAAAACAAATAGTTCTGATGAAGAAAGAAAAAGTCATATCCGTCATAGAAGGTATAGTTTCTTTTTATGCCACTCATATATTTTAAAATCAATGTATTATTGTTATTATATATATATATATATTAATGTATACGTATAAATTAGAAATAAATCAAAGGATCGTCATAGTAAAAAACATTCTCGTCGGTCAAGGAGTCGCAGTAGTGGTAGAAAACGTTCTCGGCGATCTCGTAGTCATAGCCGTAACAAAAAACGATCGCGTCGATCACGCAGTCGAAGTGAAAGGTATGTGTTTATCGCTTTACTTTAAATAGTATATTTATTAAAGGATTAGAACATTAAGTATTAACTATAATTTTATTATTTCCGGTAAAGAAATGGTAATAGCAGGAGATCGAGTCCTCATTCTAGACATGAAACAAAGAATCACAATAAACACAGTCGGTCTAAAAGTAAAGAAAAATATACATCATCACATAATTATTTCTTAGAAAAGAAGGCTAACAATAAACGGCAAAGTAATTATTTTTTAAAGTTTGATTTAATTTAAATAAAGTAAAGCCATATTTTATAAATGATTATTATTTAGTTTTAGATAAATTGGGAATTGAATTAAAAGTTCCCACAGTTGGAAATTCTGTACTGCCATCAACCACAATAGTCACCCCTCAGCTATTGCTACAAAAATCTATGGAAGCACAAGTTGAAAAAGTGAAAGAACAAACAGGCATAGAGTTACCATCTTATTACAATCCAGTAGCTGTAAACCCTAACAAATACGCTGAACAGATTCAAAAACGAAAACTTTTATGGGGAAATAAACAAAACAATGAGGTTGTTAAACAAGTTGAAGAGGCTAAACCACCTGTAATAACTAACAATAAGACTGCAACCATTTGGCAGTCCACGAAATTTGGCGATCAGGATGGCAAAGTTACTGCCAAGTTCAAAAGGCTAATGGGCATCAAAGATCCGATAGGTAGTCAATTATTGCCAACTATATTTTATATATTTTTTTTAATAAATTAATTTTTAATATATATCTAGGTGTTGATAATCAAACATCTCAACAAGGACAATCAAAAGACATTATTAAAAAACAAGAAGAAATGTTTAACTCAATGGAAAGTCAATATGAGGTTGCTCGCATGGCAACACATACTCACCGAGGGCTGGGTCTTGGTTTTGGTACATTTCAACAGCGGTAGATCTTATCTTTAAACATTTAAATTGTACATTGAAACCACACTATTAGTATTTAATTTTAGATTTCTTAATCTGGAATCTTTTGTATATTTTACACTTATCATATTTATGTTTTATTTAAATATACATAACGTAATTTTGTTGTTGATATTATATGAGCCTTTTTAAATTCATTATAGTTCCCTATGAGACCATTTGGTTGTTCCTTATTGTTCTTCGCTGTAATAGTGTTTCTTGATTATGAGTGCAACATTCTTTGCACCAATACAACTCATTTCCATGGCACTTGCTGCCCACTCTATGGCGTTTATGTGATAAAGCCGATCTGCTATGTGGAAACTTTGTGATTCTGTTGGGACTTTATAATGAGGATATGCTAACCAATCCACAACTTTAACATCACTTACATTTTCAAATAAATGGTCTATTTGATTTTTGGAAAGTGGATGTTGAGAAAATATTTTCCAAACATTTAAACTGGCGGTTTCATTGACTCCTTCAACATTACTGATTGAATTGAAAAATTCATTTTCGTTGTTTGATATGATTGTAATTGGTATAAGGTCATCCGAGATGGGAGAAAATTTTGTTCTTTTCATATCGCCAATAACCAATGTACTTACTGTTTGGTGGTATTTACCAACTTTATTTAATGCTAATGGCATGTTAGAAAAAGTGATTGGTACTTTCTGATTTTCTGCAAGAGGTGCAGCAAACACAACATAGTCGTAAGTTGCCTTTTTTTTAAAACTAGTTAACAATGTATATGAATCATTGTTTTTAGTTATTTGGACAACATATTCTGGTACTAAATGTGCATTGGACTTTTCAAGAAGTTTTTCTACAACTCTTTTGTTACCTCCTTTTACAGACCATAAAGATCCATCCATTCCAGCCATAGAAACTGATCCTGCATTAAAATTATAAACATTAGAATATTGCAGGATATTATATCTTACATTTTTATTTTAATATTAAAGGTCTAATAGTTTTATAATGTGAAATATAAAATTTAAATGTCTAGACGTATTAAGTCTATAACAGGTAAGTTAAAAAACTTAAATAATGGACTATTTTTTTTAAATTAATATTTACCTTATTATAATCACAAGGTAAATTAAATGTTAACTATTTATTTTTTTAGAAATATATTTAAAATAAATTAATAAACCTAAATTTAAAAATTAGTTATTGTGCTAATGTGCTCACAAATTCTTACCAACAAATTCGTGAACATTGGTATTTTGTCCATAGTTCACTCTAAGGGACGCCTGTACAAGTTCAGTGATTACAGACTCAGAAAAATGTTCCTCTTTCAAGTATGCATCTCTCACTGATATATTAAGATAGTTGACAAATGAAGGATCCATTGCTGTTAGTAAGTCATATGTTGAATCAAAACTTACACCATTGGTTTGTAGTTCATATATTCTAAAGAGACAATATTTTTTTTTATAACATTTATTAGGTTTTTAACATGTTATTTCTAATTTTCTGACCTTTCAAACTTGTCAAGCATACTATTAATAAATTCTTGCAAACGTTTAATGCTGTAACCATACCGCCATAAGATATTCATCAAATTTACCAAATAGTTGTCATTCTCGATAAAATCAAAATCTTTTCCATTGTGCAAACCAAGTCGTTCATTTTTAAATACAGACTTACGTTTTTGAAGTCCTAATTTAAATAAAATTAGTTAAAGACTGAACTTTAGATAGTATTTATATTGGATAACTTACCTAAATATGTTACGAAATTAGACATATATCTGTTCCTCTGGTGTATCACTGATCCACCAGTCTCATATTCATTGCCATCACTCATAATTACTGTGGCCAGTCGTCCACCAACTTGATTGCCCTCATATATATCTAAATTAACTAAATCTTTAAATATTTCTTTTAAGAAATATGCACAAGATGTTCCACCTATGCCACTACCGATTATTGCTGTAAAATAAAAATTATAACAACTTAAATTGCTCATTCAACTTTTAATTCAACAAACGACCTACCAATATTTAAATCTGCTTGGTGTGTACATTTTAATAGAGCTAAGAACCAAGTTAACACTACTAGTTCCATCAAGTATTTCATTTTGTTAGCTTTGGTTGAAGTAAAGAGCTACTTAAATTTATGGAACAACATTAAAGAGTGAGTAAATTATTAACAATCATATTTTTTAGAAAGGGAAAATAAATTAACTACTGTTAAATGATAACCAAGACAGGGTTCACTTTTTTTCGTTAAGTATGAGTATAATTCAATAAAAAAATAGTTTTAGTATGATACTATGAGCTGGGCTTTTGAAATTCGAAGTTTGTACTTTGTAGTGTATTAAACGATTAAACAATTATACAATAATAATATTATTATACATCTTGGTGAATAACTGTGAGTTCGGCCGTCGGCGTTTTCCAATTAAAATTGATAACAACTCTACTTATCAATAGGATAACTGTTCGGATAACTGTTCTGTGGTTCGGCTATGGTTCGGCCGTTCGGCACTGATATAAGGGGATTCGATCCGGTGATTTAATAAGGGGTCGTGTATAGGCAATTCGATGTATTATAGTCGTTTCGCAGTGTGTTTGTGTGCGAAGTAAATGATCATTAGTGTGCGTAGATACGTTCGGAATCAGTGGTTCGCACCCGCATGCACATGTCACATAATAAAATATTTGTTCCAACGAGAAACTAATTTCAATCAATTGAGACCTAAAAGCCTGACAAAAATACGATAACTTAGAATGATCAGATTTTAGTTCTGTAAACATATTTGAATTCATCGTTCTTTTTTCTAGGTTATTGTGGGAGTCGATTTTTGAATAACTGTTTAACTTTTTAAAGAAAGACACAAACAATTTTCAAAAAATTGAGAAATCGATATATGATTTAACGTGAATTCTAAAAAAAATATCGAAAATTGATTCCCACAATAACCTAGGAAAATTGTCAATGAACTCGAATCTTTTTACAGAATTGAAATCTGATAATTCTAAGTAGGCGTATTTTTGTCAGGCTTTTAGGTCTAAATCATGAAATAAATACGCTGGATCGAATCCCCTTAATTTGTATAATGTTGTTTTTCCCGGTGCTTTTGAAAACTATTAAGAATTTGAAAATTTGACCTCCTGAATGCACTAACAAAAATTCACTTTCCCATCGAACAAGATACTGTTGAAGAAAATCTAAGCCGTTTTACTGCCCCAAACGTTATGACACACAAAAAAAACACACATCATTGTAAAATCAATACTCTAAAATATCAGAAAAATAATAGTTTTTAAAATTAAAACATAAAATTGTTTACTGACATTTTAGATATAGGTAAAAAAACTATTTAGGAAATACCTTAAATATTTACCTACCCAGTGGCGCATTTAAGCGGGAGCAACAAGGGCAAATGCCCCGGGTGCCAAATTTTAGGGGCGGGAAAATGTTTATAGTGAACAATTACCTATGAGAACCTTTTAAAAAAATATTAATTTTTTTTAAAACTAAAATTACAAGGATATCTGACGACCTTTTAAAAAATCATTACAATACAGATTTGGGAATTTAATTTTTCAACGAACGTATTCATTTTGGCTGTTATTTAAAAACCATTTCCAATTCTCATTCAAGTATACAAGACAATAAGACATGTTAGTGTTTATAAGAAAAAATAATTTAAACAATATCTTACGATTCTTTTATAATTTTAGTAAGATTTTAAAATGTAATACAATATTCCTATAAGGTTATCTTATCAGCTGTAGACTATCTATAAGAAAGTTTAATTAAATTTTTATGAGCCATTGAAGTTCAAATTTTTACAACATTAGATATTTACTTGATTTCTCATGTAATTATTTTCTTATTTTGTTGTAATTCAAAAACGAATAACCGTAGGTAGACACTTGAGATTTATATCATATGTTTATTTTATCAATTCCTATACTTGATAAAATTTTCAAAATTTTCAAAATATTTTAACTATTTTTGAGCTGTTAACAAACAATTTCAATGTTAATTGTATATTTCTTTGAGGTGGGGGGAGGGGTTAGTAAAATGTTGCCCCAGGACGCTTAATGTCTAAATGGGCCACTGTATTTACTCACGGTACAACAATAAACCCTAGAGACTACGTATGGGTATAAATTATGTATGGATCTATGGCGGCTTCAATATTAGTCTGCTAATTTTCTAGTAGGTAGATACCTAGTAAATTACTAGTAATAATATTAGGGTGTTTTAATGTACTCGGATTAGTAAATAATTATAGTAAAATAGCTCGTCTATTCGACCTTTTCAAAAAAAAAATTAATTTGTTTAAAATATAGCTAAGTATATAGGTACTGCAGTATAGTACATTATTCTATTGTAAAAACTAATAATTAGGTAGGTACGTGACCTATCTCCAACTAAAATCTATTCAATTAAAATGTTAATAATAAATTGTATGGTGAAAACTTATAATCGAACTTTTTCACTATAATTGCAGTTGTAAATCGATTTGAATGCATGCAAATTATTTGCTGACCTTTAAAACTAAATAGTTATAGCCAATATATCGAGTATGAATCGTAGTATATGTACCTATAGTTAAACTATTTTAAACAATTTTTTTGTACCTATTTCTAATGTTAATGACTAACGAGTACAGAGTACCTATCATTATTATTATTATTATTTATTATTTTTTAATCAATATAGCATATTTTTGGTAGGTACCTACTTAGTATACTTACTGGCTACTAGTCGTTGATTGATATAATTTTTGAAACTCTTGTACATCTATCATATTTTGGTACCAATAGTTTTTGCAGTTTAAATTAAGAAAAAGAAATGATACCAAAAGAAATATTCAATCTGGAAAATTATATTCATGACATCAGAACAACTATTGCGATTCGAACAAAAAGAAAAAGATCATCATATTTTAAACAGTTACAACCCATAATCATTGCATTAAAATTATTCGGAGTAATGCCATTTACTACACATACAAGCGGTATAGTCAACAAACTAAATTATTTATTGCAATTTACCAGTACCTAGGTAGCTAAAATTAAAACACGAACATCTATAAGTAATAATATAATAGGTAGCTCTACTATTCTGTTGAATAACAAATTTAAACGTGTAAGAATACTTTTAAATATAGTGTAAACAGTACATATAACTACACAGGTTGGTACTAAAACTTCTATTATTTTCATTAATTTTCATTAATATATTACTACCTATAGATGTTCTGAAGACTTATACTATCATTACAACGTATACAAACATGGACTGTGATTGATGTGTTTGATAATTAGAAGCGTAGTTGTAAGTAAATCATTGTTAAAAATAATTGTTCAATTACAATTATTGTGTATTTGTGTTGAATAATGAATATATGTAGGTAGTTAAATTGACTGATGTTGAATATTATAATAATATTTGTTAATTTTATAACTTAATAGCTAATACTATAGTGATAGGCATATGTAGCATATTCCGATATTCCGATATTTATGAAATCCAGATTACACGGATAATTAGAATTGCTCGATTCAATATTTCCATTCAATGACCCATTTATATATTCTAATAAAATGAATTACTATTAAATGTTTTGAACTTATCTTATTTCCGACGCATACTCTCCGACTACTAGTGTTGTGTTGCGCTAAGTCAAATAAAAAAACCAAATCCATAAATCCGGATAAGAATTTGAATCAATTCCGGATTTGACTATCCGGATATTCGGGTTTCATGCACACCACTGGCTGATACTTATAAGTTATAAATTATAATATATATATTATAACTACCTATATATTATATATACCTACTATAATAAATTAGTTATTAATTATTATATAGTATACTATATATATATCAATATATTGAGTATTGACTGGAGTGTAAACTGAATAGGACGTATTTAAATTAAATTAAATTAAATTGTACTGTTTTTTATAGGGCCAGTGTTTACATTATTTTCTTGGATTATGTTCTACAGTTTGTCAGTATTTGTATGTTTAAATGTTTTGTTTTTCTATAAATTATACGGGGATTACAAATATTTTGTCAAATCAGATACAATTGTTTTCAATTTGCTTCATAGAATTACTGGATCTTCGTTAGGACTTATTTGCTTTATACTTCCCATTTACTGGACCGACATGAAAAATATACCAGAATACTGGGATCGATGGGCTATTTTTCAGGTTTGTAGTTGCACAATATTGTTCAAAAACAGTAAAAAACCAATGTTTATTTTTCAGGACAAATTTGAATTGTGTATGCGAAAACCTTTTCAATTGAATATAAGCAAACGAGTATGGTTCGTGACAATATTGCCCACCGCTCTTATGACATTCAATATAGTAGCAAGTTTATTATTTGTTAAGGGGTGGAAAGTAAATAATTCCATATTGTTTATTGGCATATTCGGCATCATAAACCTAACAACTGGATATTTTTATATCAACTGCCACATATTTAGAAATATCAGCAAGGACATAAATCAACGTATAATGGTTAGAACTTATATAATAATCTAATCTAAATAGCTCATACTAAGAATTTATAATTTTTAATCCTAATTACTTAAACAGTCTATAAAGTCATTCTCAACGGGGCGATAAAGAACAAACTTTAGTTTGTAAAATTCAGGCACGGTGTAAAATAAAATGCAATTAAATCAAAATAATTTAACCCCCTACTTATATTAATATAAAAAAACCGCTCTGTTGTACAGTAGGTTACAAGTGGGTGACTGTAATGTGTAATAGATGGTAATAAATTTGAATTCATTGATATAATATCATTGTATAAGAAAAACGATTCTGAGCGAAAAGCGGTCAGTCAGCCTATGATATTAAGAAGTATATTTGATGATATTATTAAGGTGAATAAAGTAGTTTATATATAACCTATTTACGTGAAATCTTGTTTTAAATTTTCAATCCTTAGCTATGAAAGTTGAACATTTTATAAATTTTTAACTTCAAAATTCTTATTAAATTTTTAATGTGATAAATTTGAACTTTAAATGCTTATAAAAAAAAATTATGCCAATGTATTTTTAATATTTTTCTGCTGCTATTTTAACAATATATCAGGAGCTTTGCATTAAATTTTCACGCTTTTTAACCCAACAAATAAAATTTTATTGAAATTTATAGAAAAAAAAAAAAAAATGGAAACTGGAAATGTCCGTAAACAGCTCAAAATATTTTTAAAATGTTATGGTGTATAGAAAATGCTAATATAAACATTCAGTCAAAATTTCATGTAACTACGGTCATTTGTTTTTGAGTTGCACCAAAAACCAAAATCGATTTTTTCGAAAACAGATTTTGCGTACAAATTCCCGTTTTCCTTAATTTTTCTTTTAGTTTTCACGGCGCTTTTGAAAACTTCTTTACTTTTGACCCCCAAAAAGTACCAACTAGATTCACTTTCCTAACAGAAAAGATACTGTTGAAGAAAATCTAAGCATTTTTACTGTCCTAAAAGGTGATGACAAACACAAAAAAAATTAAAAAATTAAAAAAAAACATACATCATTGTAAAATCAATACATTTATCGTTTCACTCAGAATCTAAAAGTTTGATTTAAATATAATAAATATAAAGTTCATAAAATTAGTAAATTGTACAAAATACTCACTTTTAAATTGGTAAATATTAATATAATTTGGAATAATAACATTACTTCAAAAATCTAAATTAAAATATTACCGGTAAATAAACAGTCATACACTCTGATGATTAGACAATTAGGTATGGTGATTCGCCGCCTATAGATAAATATTAAATATCTACTTAGATATTATAAAGTAGGTACCAGTATTTCTGCAGGTTGATAGGTAAGTGATTACTGATTAGTGATTAGTGATTACACTCTAATTTAAGTCTAAACCCCATGTTTCTAAAATCTAAATACGAGTGAGAGGTAAAATAATTGTTGCATAATTGGAATGACCGAACCGCTGAAGGAGGATACATATTATTAAGTCGATTTACCATGTTACCAGGAGTTAATAGTAACAAAGGGATCGTCAACCAGATTTAGAGAGCACACAGAACTTTGGTGTTACATGTCACATCTCATAACGGATTTCGGGATTGTCCATGGTGGAATTTATAGTTCTACCGCTATTGTCATGTATATATCCAGTACAGTACTATGGTTTTACTTCGCCATGACACTTATAAGCCCCGAGAACTACCTGGTCAGCGTTATAATTGTGCCACTTGCATTTACAAATGCAATACTTATGGTGTATAGTGAAGCCGCGTACATAGCTCTTTCAGAGGTACCTATCTACCTAAACTAACGTATGTTTGCTTGTCGCTTGATAATTACATAGCTAAATTTTATCATACTTACACATTTTTTAGGTGGGAAAGAAATTACATTGGAAAATATTGAATTCAGCCATGTGTGGTCTTGTGGAACAAACACAAAGAGAAGTAAGCTAGTCGTACTTGTGCAGTTGTTTTTAAAATATGTACCCATCTAATATTTTTTTTTATTAATATGGTGTCATACATTTTATTTATTTTATTTTTAATAGATATATGTATACATTTTGTAGGACACAATAAGAAATTGTGATAATAACTAATAAGTGAAAATAAATATGAAAGTGAACTGATTGATTGAGGAAGCCATCTTTCCAGTAGTGGTGTAATTTCCTATTGGCTATTTGTTTGCTTGTTTTTATATTATAAGTATCTATATACTCATTAGTTTACCAAATCTTGAAGGCACTACAACGTTTTCACTGCAGGCATATTGGAGGATTACCAAGAATTACGTTGAAGAAAAAGTCATGGATTAAGGGGTTTGTGTGAGACGTGAATACCAAGGCAAGCAAGGAACCTCTTAATGAAGTATTTTGCTTCTTACCGGACATTTTATAGATGTACATCATTATAATATGTGAAAGGTATGGTGAAGAATTTGTTATTTTTCTTAGGGTAATATTTTGTAATTACTGTATTTTTTCAAATTGGAGATTTGGAATTTCCCTATCTAATTGGAGGATATGTTGAAGAGGGGTTTGTACAATTGTACATTATAGTATAGTTTAATATATAAGTTAGGGTGTTTAGGGTGTTAAGTGTTTATTATTGTAATAAATTGTGTTTTAACTTTTAAGTATAAGTAGCCGGGATTTGAGTTGTCGTCTGTTGGTTTTAATATGGTGAGCATATAGGTAAGTGTGCAATTGAGTGTTGATCAAGATATTTTACAGTCGCAAGTCATGTATCATAGAGTTAACGGTGTAACTCAAATGGCTTCCATACATTGTTTGTTGAATTTCCGTAGGAAAAAAAATTCACAAATACCTATATAAATTCCCAAACGGCTACGGTATTTGACAACAAAAATTATTTATAATTTACTTTGCATATTATATAAATTAAAAATCACCAACACGTTTTTATTTCTATTTATGATACCAATGATTTTTATGCGTCAATTTTTATAATTTACTTTGCAATTAAAATTTTAAAAATACCAACACACTTTTAACTACACCTTTTTGAAACACTAGACAGTCCTCAGCATGTATGAAGTAGAAAGGAATTTGTGATGTTAAAAACGAGAGCCGTTTGGGAGTTTACGTATTTGTATAACGGGATCCAAATGGGTTATTGCCAGAGATCAAATTTACAGACTTACAGGCAAATATTGTACTTGTTTGATGATAAATGTCATTTGGAATATTGGGTCTGGTAGACTTAAAATCGCCAATGTTTGTACTAGTCCTCGCCATCAGAAGATGATGTTTTTGTAGATTCAAGGAAGCTTTGAAAGGGTCTGAGCTAGTTGGTATTATTGCCTTGTCGTCCATATGATTCATCACTAAAACGTTTGGTATAAATATTGAACAAAACTGAGGAGAGAATGCCTCCTCGTGAAACACTAGCTTTAATGCCGCTATATGAGAATAAGCAGTTGATCAATTCCATAACGGAGTTGAAGGTGTCGGTCATGAAGATATAATTTTAGAAAAATTTAGTAATTTGGGAGTAGACATTTCTAAAATTCATATTGCAGCCCCTCGTATCATACTCTATTAAAAGTATGTGAGATATACCTGGGTACAGGTGCAAATTTATTTATTTTAAGAGTGAAAGAAATCGAGTCAAGAATAGTGCATAATAATGAAGACCAGGATGTTTCATAAAAAAAAACAAGTTGTATTTGACCATAGGTAAACTTGTAAATTTTATACTTGTGTTAAATTTGTGTTTCATAAATATACAAGTTGACAAGTTGACATAGGACAAATGACAAGTGACAAGTTAAAAAAACCTGTAAATTATTGTTAAAAAAAACTTGGATTCCGTTTCATAAGCAACAATGACTTGTACAATATATTCAATATTGATAAAATGATGACAATGTGACTCGCCCTCGAAGTATAGTTTTTTAAGTGATAATTGTTATTAATATAATTTTATATATTTTTTTAAACATTTCGTGAATTATTTTTACAATGTGGCCGATATCCTCATCTTGAAATTCAAACACCGATGACGAAAATATTATCATTCGTCGAAGAAGAATATTCCGTCCAAGAATTAATAATAATTTTATGGTTGAATATGAGTACAACGAACGGTTTAGAATGAACTTCGTGAAGTTGGAGTATATTATCAGCCGTATAGGGCATCTTCTAGTTCATCATACAAACAGAAATCATGCATTATCCCCTATTCAACAAATACATTTATACTTGCATTTTTTGGGAAGTGGTACTCAGTATAGTATCACGCTATTGGTGACATGCATGGTGTATCAAAAGCTACTGTTTGTCGTGTAGTAAGAAATGTGACAAAAGCTTTAAATTAGGTACTTTTTGCACAATTGGTACGATGGCCTAATAATATGGTTACTGCTGTTCATCGCTTCCATAGTATATCTTCCTTAGATCATATACAATGGATGGAGCTATGTGTGTATTTCTCGTATATCGAGCTGTGTTCAACATAACCACCCCACAACCCATTTAATTTATGGAACACCGGGTTATTGTGCATGATTTGCTTCTATGCCGCTTCACATTCCATCCCCACCACCCATTTCATTTCAAGGGAACAACGCGTTTATTACGCATGCGTTGCGGCAAAAATCACGATAAAATAACTAAAAAGTGGGGGGTTATGTTGGACACAGCAAATAATTAAAGTAGCTCCATCCATTGTATATGATCTAAGATAGCTTCAATACCTTTAGTTTGTAGGTTATGTTGATGGAACTTTAATTAAAATTGACGCACCATTGGTAAACGAACCTGTGTTTGTTGATAGACATAGCAATAATTCTGTTACGTGTATAATAATAATATATTTAGTCAGGGGTAAATGTACCGTTACAAACCATGGGAGGAAATGTCCAAATACCGTGTATCATTAAGTATGTTTTTATATGCACCTTAACTTAATAATGTAGATGTAACTAAGAAACTTGCCATTGCTCAGATTTGCTCTTTTCTTATGGTTTTGCCAAAACGTATCACTAATATATGTCCAATCATTTTCTTTATTTTCCGGTAATTTGTGACCCACACTTTTAGCAGTGTCTAAAACTTTTTTCCAAGCCTTTTCTTTGTCTTGATGGGTAAGTTTACTTGAAAAAGCTCCAAACAACACTTATTTATGTTCTTTAATGGATTCAAGGAGTATTTCATTAGTGATTTTGGTCATATTAAAAATTTTAAAGTTTAATGCTTTCTTAATTCTGATTTCTTGTTCAAAATTTTATAAACCGAATATTATCACACATCTCTTATCAGTATGTATAAAGTTAAGACAGCTGACTTGTAAAACGCTATTACTTTGACAAGTCATTTTCGACTTGATTACATTTTTTACGAAACGCCTATTAATTGGACTTGTCTGATTTTACATGTTACTTGTCACTTGTAATTTTACAACTTGTTTTTTTTTTATGAAACAGAACGATGTCAATAAAAATTACTTATATGTTTCAGGTACAAGATTTTTTAGAAATGATTCAACTTTGTAGAACAAATATTACTTTTGGCGGTTTTTGTGACGTTAATAGAGAACTTTTTATCAACGTAAGTTTCTCCATAAGACAAGCAAGTAATTTTTATTTTACACTTATTATTTTTCTATAATAATATCGTATTTATTTAAATATTAATTATAATGAATAACTGAATAAATATATGATAGAATGGAGAATTTAATTAATTCAATAAATATTTATTTTTAGTTTATATTAGCCGTATTTTTTAACTTAGTTGTTGCATTTCAATCTCAAATAATTCCAAAACAATATACAACATCAGCTGTCTGAAGTATTTTCATTAGAACTATTGAAAATCAAAAATCAAAATAATTACATTTATAATTTAACTTAGTATTGTACCTCTGAGTAATAATGTGTTATTAGTTATTATAATTATTGTTGCATTAGACTCGATATATAGCCATTAGGCATGGATATTTACATTTTTTTTTTATAGATCTAATGAATCTTTATTTGTTCCTGCAGTTAATATAAATATTGGTGGATTATCTGGATGTAGATATTTAATTGTATGTGATATTATGTAATGTGATATTTTGCTTGAGCCTTAAAATGTTTTTTAATGTACTAGCTACTTAATACGAACGTAATTTAATTTAAAACTATTGTTCATTGTTATGTCATACGAATAAATAAATATCATTTTGATTATTAAATAATCAAATTTTGTTGTATATTATTGTGTGGCTAGTGTTTTATTATATTTATAGTTATTATAATAACCCACACTTATTTTAGATTCTAAGGGAAGCTATATACTAATAAACTATGATGTATATTTTGTTTGTATAATATGTCATTACGTTTTGGAGCAGAAAAAAAGTTTCAAACTTAAAATGTTTGGGTGGTTCTGGTAAAACATTGGATTTAGTTTCTAGTTGGAATTTTGGATCATCAAGACTAAAGAAGATCTTTGTAACTCCTGTACTTTTTAAGACAATCGATAAAAATAAAAATAAAAACAATGAAAAAACGGAATATTTACGAAACATCAAATTTTGATACATAACAATTTCACTGAATGTTTATATTTTCATTTTCTATACACCATAAAATGTTGACTTGTTTTCAGCTGTTTACGGACAATTTCAAATTTCAATTTTTTTCTAAAAATATCAATAAAATGTTATTTGTTGAGCCAAAAATCTTGAAAATGTAATACAAGGCTCCTGATATATTGTTAAAATAGTATTTGAAAAATAACAAAAATACAAAGGCACAATTTTCTTCAAAGCATGTAAAGTTCAAATTTTGACAATATTTATCAAATTGAAAATTTACAAATTATTTTTTAGTTAAACATTTATAAAACCTTTAACTTTTATAGGTAAGGATTGACAATTTAAAACAAAGTTCTATGTAAATAGGTTAAATATAAACTACTTTATTCACAATAATATTGTCAAATATACTGAGTAATATCATAGGCAGTCTGACGAGTGAATGTAAATTCCCACACGAGATATAGCAGGTAAAAATCACAACCGGGTATGCATACGTAAATTCCCACACGAAAAAAAATTACACCGAATACAAACTTCCTTCCCACTTTATTCAGACTTAGGTCTGACAACTTAAATGTACCTAGTTGGTTTGGTTGAAATTTGTTTGTTTTTGTGTTCTATAAAATAGTAAAATCAATTTTTTAATTGAACCTAGTCCAAATCTATTATATAAAAATAAGTCCGGTTTTCCTCCCTGACGCTATAACTCGAGAACGCACGAACCGATTTCCACGGTTTTGCATTCGTTGGAAAGGTCTTGGGCTCCGTGAGGTTTATAGCAAAGAAAATTCTGGAAAATTCAGGAAAAATTCAACAGAAAAGTGGGGAAATCGTTTTTCACATACAGCGCCATCTATTATACATAGCATGTACTTCAAAACCAATAGCACGGTGCGTGATTAAGTGTTTGACGGATAGTTGTTTATTATATAGTTGACGGATAGTTGTTTACATTATTCTCTGCTCAGTTAATTTCATTTAAGCTAAAATAAATTATGTAAATTATGTGGATCGTGCATTTGAAGTTAAATTCAATACTCTGTCCATAGTCCAAAATGTCTAGAGAACGACGTGCGAACATCGGCCGCCGCACAAGACATGCAAGCCAGCAACAAGTATATTCAAAGAACTTAAGAGAAGAAAGACAAAATATAATAAGAGAAAATGACCGATTGAGACATCGCGTGAGCACACGAAGATCATTGGCATCATACAATCGCTTGGCATTCCAATATGATCCCACTGCGAACTACAGTGATGATGAAAATTTTGATATTGGACGAATGACGACTATATGCCGATATTGCAATGCGTTAAAGTTCAAAAGAGAAACGGTTGGATTGTGCTGCGCAAGTGGAAAAGTCAAACTGGATCCATTACTTACACCACCACATCCACTGAAAACATTGTTTGATGGAAGTGATCCCGATTCCAGCCATTTTCTTCAACACATCCTTGAATACAATAACTGCTTTCGCATGAACTTCCTTGGAGCTAATATCATTCGAGAAGGCGGCTTCATGCCGACTTGCAAGGTAAAAGATACAACACACTAAACAACACATATTGCAACACCTAACAACTTCATTATACACCACACACTACACAAACACACGATTTAAAAGGTATTCATGAACAAATTTTAATGATTATTTGCAATTACAGATACAAGGTCAAATATATCATTTGCATGGTTCAATGGTGCCAACCACACCAGATGAACCGCATCAATTTCTGCAAATATATTTCATTTCGTCGATGGTGGATCAGCTGAACGTGCGGTGCATATATACGGGAGCACAACAGTTAAAGAGACGAATTATTGAACAGTTGCAAGCATTTTTTCACGCTAATAATGCTGTGGTTAATATGTTCAAAACAGCATTGGAACGAATGCCATCGGATACGCACAAATTTGTCATAAGAGCGGATTGTACTCCAACAGGTGAACATGTGCGAAGATTCAATGCACCCACCGTTAATGATGTTGCTGCAATTATTGTTGGCGATCCAACTAAATCACGAGACATTGTCGTTCAGCGAAGAAGCAATTCCAGCAATTCGCTGTCGACATGTATGTCAAAGTCGAGACCGAACGTTTAGCGTTCATCAGATTCAATCAGCCAAAGCTACGATCTGAGGACTATATACACTTGCGTGATGCTATTTATTCAGATGGTGATGTTCAGAATATTGGACGACTGACGGTTCTCCCATCAACTTATATCGGAAGCCCACGCCACATGCACGAATACGCTCAAGACGCTATGACGTACGTGCGAAATTATGGAACTCCGGATTTATTTATTACGGTCACATGCAATCCGAAGTGGACGGAAATTGAACGCGAGTTGGAACCAGGTCAAAAACCGCAAGATCGCCATGACATAATCGCCAGAGTATTTCAGCAAAAACTCAAGGTTATGATGGATGTGCTTACTAAGTATCGAGTTTTTGGTGACACACGTTGTTATATGTACTCGGTGGAATGGCAGAAGCGTGGACTACCGCATGCTCATATCCTAATTTGGTTGCTGAACAAATTACATTCAAATGAAGTGGATGACATCATATCAGCTGAAATTCCTGATCCAGTCACTGATCCCCGTCTACACGACATTGTGACGACACAGATGGTGCATGGACCGTGCGGTGCATTAAATCCATTATCGCCTTGCATGGCTGATGGAAAGTGCACAAAACGATATCCGCGACCGTTAGTTGCTGAAACAGTCACAGGGAACGATGGATATCCAGTTTATCGTCGGCGTTCAAAAGAAGATAACGGTCGAACTATCAAAGTTAAAGTTCAAAATCAAGAGATTGAGATCGGAAATGAATTCATTGTACCATATTGCCCGCTGCTATCACGAATTTTCGAAACACATGCAAACGTTGAGAGTTGTCATTCGGCCAAATCAATCAAATATTTGTGCAAGTACGTCACAAAAGGCAGCGACATGGCTGTGTTTGGTATTGCGTCGGAAAATGTGAATGACGAAATCAGCAACTTCCAAATGGGCAGATACGTCAGTACTAATGAAGCACTGTGGCGATTATTGTCATTTCAAATTCATGAAAGATATCCCACAGTTGTACATTTAGCAGTGCATTTGGAAAATGGCCAAAGAGTTTACTTCACTGAGGCTAATGCGGCACAACGAGCTGAGAGACCACCATCGACAACATTGACTAGCTTCTTTGCAATGTGTGAATCAGATCCATTCGCAGCGACGCTGATGTACGTTGAAATGCCCAAGTATTACACTTGGAATCAATCAACAAAGAAATTCCAACGTCGCAAACAAGGAACCCCAGTTCCAGACTGGCCACAGGTGTTTTCAACTGATGCACTAGGTCGTATGTACACTGTTCATCCTAGAAACGATGAATGTTTTTATTTGCGACTGCTGTTAGTAAATGTACGTGGACCGAAATCATTTGCGCATTTGAAAACTGTGAATGGCCACCAATGCCAAACATATCGAGAAGCATGTCAACTATTGGGTTTGCTGGAGAACGATTCTCATTGGGATTTAACACTTGCAGATTCAGTTGTTTCATCAAATGCGTACCAAATACGAACGCTGTTCGCAATTATCATCACCACATGTTTTCCTTCACAACCAATTCAGTTATGGAACAAATACAAAGACGCCATATGTGAAGATATCTTGCATCGCTTGCGTATTCAAACGAATAATCCTGACATCCAAATAACCGATGAAATCTACAATGAAGGATTGATTCTGATTGAGGATCAATGCTTGACTATTGCAAACAAGCTACTGATTGAAGTAGGAATGATTGCGCCAAATCGATCGATGCACGATGCATTCAACCAAGAATTAAATCGAGAGCTGCAATACAATGTTGATACATTGCAGGAATTCGTTAGAAATAATGTTCCGTTGCTGAATGAACAGCAAAAACAAGTATACAAAACATTAATGCAAGCGGTGGACAATAATACCGGTGGTCTATTCTTCCTGGATGCACCTGGAGGAACAGGGAAAACATTTGTCATTTCATTGATTTTGGCCACTATTCGATCAAGATGTGACATAGCTTTGGCGTTAGCATCATCTGGAATTGCGGCGACTCTTCTAGATGGCGGTCGTACTGCACATTCTGCGCTTAAGTTGCCACTCAATTTAAACACAATGATACTCCAACGTGCAATATTTCCCGATCCAGTGCAATGGGAAAATTGTTAATGCAATGCAAGCTCATTGTTTGGGATGAGTGCACAATGGCACATAAGAAATCACTTGAAGCACTTAACTTCACACTGAAGGATCTTCGGAGAAATAACAACATCTTTGGCGGCTTGATGATATTGTTGGCAGGCGATTTCAGGCAGACGTTGCCAGTAGTTCCCCGTGGAACGCCTGCAGATGAATGAATGCTTGCCTAAAGGCATCACCTTTATGGAATAACGTAAAAACATTATCGCTAACCACTAATATGAGAGTTCAACTTCAAAATGATCAAAGTGCTGCACAATTTCCAAACAAGTGTTAGATCTTGGAAATGGAAAAGTCCCAGTTGATGCGACATCTGGATTAATGACTCTTACCCAACGACTTTTGCCGATTTGTAGACACTCAATTAGTTCTTATTGAAAATTTTTTCCCAAACATTAGTGAGAATTATAAGAATTATGCTTGGTTAAGTCAACGAGCAATTCTTGCAGCAAAGAATAATGATGTCCACGCACTGAATTTCACCATTCAATCAAAAATTGCTGGCGATTTGGTGACATACAAATCCGTTGATTCAATAACAAATCCCGATGATGTAGTAAATTATCCAACGGAGTTTTTGAACTCTCTGGAGATACCAGGATTTCCACCACATAACTTGCAACTGAAAGTTGGTACAGTTATTTTGATACTGCGTAATTTGAATCCACCGCGACTTTGCAACGGTACTCGACTTTCGGTAAAGAGACTTATGCCGAATTTAATTGAGAAAAAAACATAAACGAATCTGGTGGCGAAACGGAGTTCGCCGGGTCTGCTAGTATATAATAAAAATTAACAATATAATGTGTAGGTATGGTCCACATATGATTTATATTATTTGTATAAGTATAAAATAATAAATAATTAATTATAATAATAGTAATAGAAAAAAATTAATTTAATTTGGCTTATTGGGCATAGGCGCAACTAGAGGCCAAACACTGGGGGTGCTAAAATTATGTAGAGAACACAAACCCGCGGGGGCTACGCCCCCACACCCCAAAGTAACATACTTTGATTTTATAATTACTATAACCATTCCTAAATGCACCATGAACATTGAGCACATAAGGACACTAATATTTAAGTAAATCTGCAACAGTAATATACATGAGGTATGTTATATTATTTAGGTGATAAAAATAGTAACCTGGAAGTATAAATAGATAAAAAAAAAAAAAATTGGTCAAGTGGGTACCGCTTTGCTGTACAATAGTTGTTGAGAATGTCGTTGTAGTGGATGTGTATATTGAATTCAATTTGAAAACTGTTCTCATAAATAGCTATAAATAGTTCATAAAAAGTCAAGTGTTTAAAGAATTTACGATGTATGGAAAATGCTATTATAAATATTTGGTGAACATTTCAAGAATCTACGGTTATTCATTTTGGAGATACAACAAAATCCAAAAAATCGATTAATGGGAATTCGATTTACCGCTGAATATCGAATATCGTGACAATTATAAGTTCGAACACTCATAAAAAATTCATGTTTCGTGCGGGAACTTACTAAATCCTAGTCTGACCGTCTTCGCTCAGAATCGTTTTTCTTATACAATGATATTATACCAATGAATTCAAATTTAACATCATCCATTACAGTGATCCACTTATAACCTACTGTACAGCAGAGAGATACCCACTTGCCCAGCTTTTTTTAAATAGGTATGTAAGTTATGCATTTATTTGAAACGTTCTCTTTTTTTTTTTTTTTGTCGATTTATATTGATAAAACGTTTGTTTTTAAGGTGGTATTAAATTAATTTTTACAAAATAAAAATATCCTTAGAAATAGAGGAAGACACTGTCAGTTTAATATATTTATATTTCAACAACCAGGTTTAAACATAACATATACGCAGAATTTATATGGAAAATTAGTAATTACATAGGTAGTTCCGATTAGTGAGAGTTACAAAATAGCTTGATTAATTATGAAATTCAAATAATTTTATAACGACATAAAAATAATTTTCATATAAAAAAACCCTAGGTGGCTAGGTACTAAGAATTTTCATAAATAATTGAATAATATTATAAAAATTAAAAAATTTTAGAAGGTAATGAGAACATCCCCCGTCGCAAACAATTTGGACCCATTTTACATACCTACCCACATAATTCTGTACCTATCAATGTATACTTTTGGTTTATATAATTCGATCAGAGTTAATTATTTTTATTACCTGTAAACAAAGACTCTTTAAAGCATGGTTACGTATATTGTGTACCTATACCAGATATACCCCCATAATTTTAGCTCCCTTATTAATTTCATCTCTGCATTATTTGGCCAATGATATAATATGATACCAGCTATATGAGTATTCTAGTTTCCGCTAACAACGATAATATTACCTATTGCGGCAATGTATTACATATATATTTATTATAATATGTCATCGTAAAAATACTGCACCACCCCACTATACCGCCGCCACCGAGGCGGTTGCTTTCTACTTGCGGAAAGAGGAAAAAAATCGGTGGCAATCGGACAGGACACCGCCTACAAACAACTATATAGCTGCAGCACTAAAGCCTGCGAACGTGTTGCACGCCATCGCACTCGTCGCAGTGGTGACACGGTAATCGACTCGAAATGACCGACTCCGCGATCGACGGCTGCGGGAACGGCAATTCGGTATAAATAATATTATATTATGCGACCACCGAACATTTTTGAAAAAATGATTCTTACACGCGTTCAAAGCGGAATGTCGGAAAATTGAATATTGATATACCGAGTGCCGGGACCGTGGTAGTCGGCTATTTAGTTACACGAAGTATTTTTACACGGTGCTGTTGCTGTGTATATAGACTTCAACGAGCTGAGACGAGTGCGATCTTCTGGTA